AATTTAACTGCTGCAATAGCAGCTGTTTTCCTGAAAACATTATAATTTAATATTAATATTATATTATTTGTTATATTTTTTTAATATTATGCTTAGAATCTTTCGTAAACACAGCAGAATTTTTCGACAAATACAGCTGTAAGAATGTTACAGTTATATTTCTGAGTTATGGATGTACAAATATCGAAACTTTAGATATAAAGATGTATGATATTGAATTTATGTCTCTTCTAATTTTATTTATATTTCTTGTAATGCTTCCTACAATTTCTATTTAATCTCGTTCATTATCGATACATTGAATACATGAAAGGTTATCTTTCTCAATTTGATTTCATTTACTGAATAGTAATTATATGGCTTCTAGTGTATTCAAGAGATGGTCAAATTATTGGTGAATATCAAATCAATTTTCATGAAAAATTTTGAGGTTTCTTTTAATAGAATCAATGAGATTCACTCAATATTTTAATAGAATTTTGACTTTGAGATTTTAATAAAGATCTTGTACGGCAAGAACAAATTATGTCATAAATATTTTAAGTGTGAGACATAATGCTTTTTTTTTTAATTTACATTAAAGTAACATATATCAATGTTATTTAAAAAAAATATTTTTTTCCAAGAACACGCGCAGCATTTTATAATATAATATAATAAATTAAAATTATTGTAATAAAAATTGATATAAATATATAATAAATGTAAAGAAAAATAGCATAGTTGAAAGCAAATTACAGCTTGATGACAAGACAAATGTAATTTTAAAAAATTTAGTTTATAAATTTACTTCTATTTTGGATGTTATTTTATAAAATTTATGTTTTTTTGATATATTTAAATGCCTACAGTCAAACTGTTAAATATTGTTTAGGCAATCAATGCTATTTGTTGAATTCTTTGAATTACAAAGAGTTGATATATAAGAATGTAATGAGTTTATGCTGTAAATAATTTTTTAAAGTAAATAAAAATATACATAATATTAAGTAAATTATAGTTTCGCCTTATACACATATTTTGCAAAATTCAGTAGCAAAGTAATAAAACGTAAAAATTATAAAAAAAAGATTTACAATCAAGCTCCGCATAAAAATATCTTTCATCTGCATGACAAAAGCTTTGTTATTTAGCGCAGTGTAATCAATCTGTTAATTTTAACTAGAATAAAACCAATGTATAGTTACAACAATGTGCAGCTGTCCAACATGACAACGTTAATCGCAATGCATATTGACATTGTTGCGTATTCAATGTTCGCCGATAGACACAGATATCGGACGATGAGAGATGCAATGCAACAAGAGTGACTGTATGTCATAACGTAACAACGCATTGATTCGTCAAAACCAGGATGTAAAGATATTTGATTTTTCCCAGAATGCGCATCGCGCAATTCTTTCAATTTGCGATCGATTGTGCCTTCTATCCGAATACATATTCAGAATCACGAATCTCGCAATTTGGACGAGATCCAAGCTTGAGATCTCGTGCCGGGGTACATCGGGACACATGAGAAGCAAATCGGAGCGAGACCTAGATTGCTGGCAGAATTTCCACGGGACGTGCCGACGTGCGTCGGAACGGGGGATACAGAGGATCATCGCGCTATCGAAATAGAGCGGAGCGGTTCTTGAGCTCGGGTGAGCTAGAGATAGGCGCACCCTAGAGGAGTCCTTGTCGTGACGCACAGCCTTTTCCGAGGGCGAGAATCGAATGGCGGGATGATTCCTCGGAGGGGGTGTGCGCGCGTTGTCGCGCGATATCGGTGGCTGCGCGTTGACACGGCGCGCGTTCCCGCTGCGCCGGGAGAGCAGCATTACCGCCGCGTTACCCTCGCGACACGGAAGAGCGAGAAGCGAAGAGTGCGTCCAGCCGCGCGCGCCAACCGCCTAGGCGAGGAAGCGCGCAACCGAGAGAACCGTGCGAACCGAGCTCGGCTCCTCGTCATCGTCCCGACGTAGGTGCAGTCTGCTTCCCTTCGCCGTTCGGGCCACTTGCTCGGGCAGCCTGTGCGCGAATCGGTCTCACGAGCACAGCGTGCTGAAGCAGGATCCCCGGTCGACGCGGCTACTTCTCGAGATCATCATCGCCGAGGACTGTCTTTACGCGCGAATACGTACGAGTGAAGGGTCAGTTTGTCGATCGTCAGTTGATCGTCAGATATCGAGCGATATTTCGGCGAACGATCCTCCTCCGCGCTAGCGTGTCGCGATCGACTCCGGGATTCCCTGGGTCGTCGACCCGCGTTTCTTCCTGCCTCTCGTCGTTCTGCGCGAGTGTCGCGTAGCGTCTCTCACGGCGAGCGGAGTGCAGTCTCGGTGTCGCGACGTTCTTCGGCGTCTTTCATCTTCCGTGAGAATTCCTCCAGCTACGAGGCTTGCCTCTTCCAGTCGGTGTACACGCGACTGACCCTCCGCCGTCTCTCTCCCTCTCGCTCGCTTTCTCTTTTTCTTCTCTCTCTCTCTCTCTCTTGCTTCGCGCCAGCATGGGGGACCAGGAGCAACAGGAAACAATTCCGAGCGTGGTGGAGCTGAACGTGGGTGGCGTCTTCTATACCACCGCCTTGACCACTCTGACACGCGAGAGCGACTCGCATCTCGCCGAGCTCTTCACGCGCAAATCGGCCGTGCAGAAAGACGCCAAGGGCAAGTACTTCCTGGACCGCGACGGCGTGCTCTTCCGTTACGTGCTGGACTTCCTGCGCAATCAGGCGCTGGTGCTACCCGAGGGCTTCCGTGAACGCGAGAGGCTTATGCAGGAGGCCAGTTTCTACGGTCTGGCCGGATTGGAGAAGGCGATCTTGGAGAACGCTGACGACACCGCCGCCTCCGGCGCGCGTGCCGGCGGCGCGGCTGGCAAACGCTCGCCAGGATACATCACCATCGGCTATCGGGGCAGCTTCGCCTTCGGCCGCGAGGGCCTGGCCGACGTCAAGTTCCGCAAGCTCTCGAGGATCCTCGTGTGCGGCCGCGTGGCGCTCTGCCGGGACGTCTTCGGCGAGACGCTGAACGAGAGCCGCGATCCCGATCACGGCATGTCCGATCGCTACACGTCGCGCTTCTTCCTCAAGCACAGTGTCATCGAGCAGGCCTTCGACATGCTGCAGGAGCAGGGCTTCAGGCTGGCGGGCAGCTGCGGCTCCGGCACGGCCGGCAGCAATTCCGAACAGCTCAAGCCTGGCGTGGACTCCGAGGAGAATCGCTGGAATCACTACAACGAGTTCGTCTTCGTGCGCGATTAAAGAATCTCACGAAAGGCTCTCCCTCTCTGATGATCGCGAGAAGAGGAGTACTTCGGCTGACTTAATTATCATCGTCGCTGGCTCGCACCTTGTAAATGTGCGAGGCGGCGATCGCGACCGCCGCGGGAGAAGACTTCTTCGGATACTCGAATGGGTTCGTAAACGGAAGCGGGAGACGTTCGCGGGAACACGTGTGCGCGTAAGGCGCGATAAGTGCGAGACTATCGTCGATAGAATACATCAGAATACATCAGAGAATACATAATGAGGTCGATATCGGGCGACGTCAGGCTTAATAAAAGTTCGTACGAAAACGTCGGGCGTTCGTTTCGCGGAGTTTCTAGCTAATTTTCTCTCTTGTGAGAAATTTTTCCCAGAGTCACACCGCTGTTATCAATCAATGCTGAAGCGACACAAATAGGAATTGGGACATTTCGACGTTCCCGAGAATACCAGCGTCGTCAACACTTTCTAAGATATTAGTTTTCGAGAACCACTATAATTGATTCTGTCATCCGAATGAAGAGAATCAATAGAACGAAAAGCACATTGAAGATAAATCTTTGAGCGTTGTTTTTCCATGCAACGCTCTCTCTCTCTCTCTCTTCCCCTCGTCTGAAATATTGAAAACATTGATAACGAGAAATTGAACCTCTTTCTGTATTAAAGAAAACAACAAACTCGAGTTTACCGCACAAACTACGTCGAAACTTTGAACGCTCATACTTTCGAAATAAATATCGTAGAAAATTGTAAACAGCGAGTTTATCAATAAATTATTTATTAGTTTATTATTAAATTATTAACATCGAGGAATTGTCCGGGGATATCTATTTTAAATCTGTCAGAGATTTTATGGAACTCGTAGCCGTACAATGTTTTACGCGTAATATTCATTTATATGAGTTTAGTGCACAAACTGTACAAATAAAGTCGTAACCTCCTCTGAATACGGCGTGTTAACATCTTCCGTAAGCGGAACGCGCCGACGGCGGCATAAAATCGCCGATAAAAAAAAGGCCGCCTCCACCATAGGTTGTTCCGAGCAAGAGACGTTTATTAAAAACCAGTCTCGCGTAAATCCAGGAGATGAAAGACGCCAATGTCGGGCGTTTTTCATTGCTATAGTGGACGCGCGGTAAGACGGTGAATGAAACGTGTGGAAAGAAAGCGGATCGGAACGAAGGGCAGGGTGGTGTTGAAATATCTGCGAACAGACGCGACTTGGCCGCTTAAAAAGGCAACCAACGTGTCGGATACGTCGGTGATAAATGTAAGTAGAAGCGACGGGCGGGAAAATGTGAGAAAACACACGAACGCAGGACGGACGACTTGACGCGGAAGTATATCGGCCGCTGTTTTAAAATCGCATCGGATGACGCAATAAAGTTCGCATTTTTTTCACTCGCCGTCGCTGAGGAAATTAAAGGCGAATGGAAAATCCCAGCCGTCGTCTGCGTTAATGAGACCATCATTTAAGGAAAGTTTCCGGCGCTAGTCCGCTAGTTCGAGTAGTTAGAATCAGTAAATGGCCGGACCGAGTAGTCACTGTTAGATTACGGTCAAACCGAGTAGCAGCTGCTGATCGCTAGTCGGACCAAGTAGTTAACGGCACGCTAAAGTCGGACGTTTTCTTTAAGTAGAAAGTATGCAGAAAAGGGCGGCGCGGCGAGAACACCGCAGATACTAACGTCCGGTGAATTATCGTTTCTAGATAAACTCGGCTTGAACAGGTGCCTAGCTCCGTTCTTGATGGGTGGAGAGGCTTGTCGAATGCATGTAGTTACAACCCGACACGATGTCAAACGCGCTATTCAATCCGACGGAAATGTCGGAACATCAGATATCTCTCTTCTAATGATCTTTTGTCGCTTCTTAAAAAGCACGAACGATTCGGCGCTTTTTCCTCCATCCGAAATTCTCTTTTCTCAAAAAAGAGCGGAACATAAGTGTGACGGGCAATTTGTAGCTTTCGATCCGTGAACTAGCGGAAGTGTTGGAGCACGAAAAACGCGTAGTGTTGTTACGAATCTACTTATAGTGAGTGTCGCGTCAAATAAATTCTGTAAAAAGTATACTTGCAAAATTAGCTGGATAGCATACTTCGGGTATTTTTTCCTTTTTTCATAGTTGTGATTTTCTGGGTGGCGGAATATGTTTAAAAAAGTTTTACGGCAAATAGTTTAACGAAAAAAAAAAAAAAAAAAAAAATTGCAAACTATTTTGATTAGCTGCATGCCAACTTATCGCTACTGCCAAAAGGCATTTCTTTGCATACTTGAAGTTTAACTCACTTTAACGAAGTATTAACTTCTTTAGTGCCGTTTTATTAGTCTGCAAAAATACTCAAAGTAAAAGGTAGCGGACTCTGACTTGAGATTCTTCCGCCTTCACTGTGCGCCGGGACACGCAACATATCGTTTATTTGTCCACTTATTACGAATAATCGTTCGCATGTTCCAAGTGATGAAAGTAACGAGGTATTCATCGCGATTATAATCTCTCGTCGCAACAGGTTATCGTGTGACGGACCGTGTTTAGAGATTGTGCCAAAGAATGCCGACGGCGTGCAATAGACGAGACAGATATCAAATTTCGCATTGGTTTTTTTTGTTATCGTAAAAGTACAACAAGCGTCGAAGAATGGAGATAATGTATCTTGTATATCGCGTTTAGCAGTGTTCCATATATCGTTACGAAATGACACTTATTATCACGACAATCGATGAGAATCACGATGAACATATAGAGTTTTCTCAATTTTAAATAAACGCTTGACTTTTCAACGGAACCAAAATGATATATTGCGAAAAATTTATTGCGAATCTATTATACACCACGGAAATCCAGACGGAAATCCACAGTTTGATATTTGCTCTTTATAATCTCGACACATTGCGGTCGGCCGAAAATAATTTTAAAGCAGTGATGCGAATCATGGTTGTTATTGTTAATGCGTGGTCAGCTGCTCGATGAATGACGCATCTGCGTTCGCAGTAGATTGATTTATAATGACGTTATGCTTGGATTGTGTGAGTTATGCGTGTCAACGCGAGGTATAATGTGTAACCGAGAAACGTTGATAGCCCAGTGTGCGCTCGAGATAATTTAATTTAATCTCTTCGCCTTCTGCTGTTCAACTTTAATTATTCGCAGCTGAGAGACATCTCACGTACGGTGCTACGCAAATTTTGGATGGCATTCCGCGCTAATTGCTTAGGTGTCATTATTGCATCACGTTGCACAGTGAAACGAGTGAACGACGTTTTCGATTATTCCAAATTTGCATCTCGCGGATGACCGGATTTCAGGTGATCCGCATATTGGTCACATTGATAACGCCGCGCTGAGCAACGTGTCAAACCTAGCTGGCTGGGCGGTTCTATTGATTAATACGGGGCGGTGATATCGTAATCGTTACGCGATTACTCCATTAGTAAATCGCCTACTTCCATTTACTCTGTACAAATAAAGACATTCAGGTAAATCAAACTTGTAAGATAGTAGACGGATGTTGCAAGACGTTAATGTAAGACAGTCTCATGTAGAGCGACTATAAACTTCGACTTACTTTACGACGGCACAAATTTTAGTCCTTTCCACCGGTACATATCATTCCGAAATTCGTTTTCCTCTTTTCACGCATATTGATTTGACACATCCGACGTAAGCGTATTTATCGAATTCATGACGGAATTCTACGTTAATCGTATCTGTGAGCACGGTACACGCAGAATTGGGCCCAAAATAAACATTTATTGCGACGTATAAAGCGCGTTGAAGCTTATTCATTTTTGATATCTCATTTCGAGAATTAATCTCCGTGGTCGTCGAAATCAACGACTGGTTTTAGACTAATATACGCGTTCGCCTATATTGTCAAATGAAACAAAACTGTATTTTCTGAACCATATATTGATTTCTACGGTACCAAGAATGGTTTTTAAAAATAGCGAAAGGACATGTAAAAGCGCTTTGTTCATATATGCACGTTAGTATATTAAACTTCTAAAAATATTGATATATCTATATTTTTTGTTGAATTATACATTCGTAGAATTTTCCTTCGGATTGCATTTATATATTTCTTGCGCCTGTGTAGATTGTAAAAATGCACTTTTGTCGAGAAAAATTTAGAAGATAAATTGACCTCGTGTATCTGGATATGCGCAAGATTATTTATTTGCTTGCACCGAAATATATTTTCCCGACGTATTATTATGCGTGCGTGGGAAAATTCGAGATCGACGATATGCCGATTAAGATTCGTGATATATAGAAGGCTATATTTCGTAGACTAGAAACAATATCGCAAGCTCGCAGCGCAAGGGAGCGAGTCTCGAGCGAACAAATTTGATAGAACTCAAATCTCTTTGAGCTCCGTCAGATTATGAAGAAGATTTTATCGAAATCCATCGACGATTGAAACCTTTGCTTAGCGTTTTACGACCTCTGGTAATTAATAAAATATCTACCGTAGCGAATGTTCTATTTGATCCAATTAAAATCTTTGTTCCGTTTTATAACGTTCCGTGTCTGATGGAATTCGAATTTCTTGAACCGCGATGAAATTTCCACCTAACTATTTTTAATCAAATAAGCTTTTCATGAGCCCCGCGGAACTTTTTTCTTTAAAGTGAAGTTTTCGTAAGTACCATCGAAGTTTAGAGTTTGATGTTGGCATTCCAAATTTTGTTTGCAAAATATAATAGGGAATATAGGAGGAACGGGGTGAGAAAATAATGGTTGATCACGAGATCGGATCATTTTTCAAATTACACCTACGATACACTAGAAAAGACATCTTTACGCCACTTGTAATGAGATAGTTTATCAAAATGTTTCTTTTAATTCAATCAGGAGACATCTTGACCAATCGAATTTAGGTATATGAAATACTTCGCATAGTTCATATTCATATTTATTGATTGTGGATAAGGGAACTGACTTTTTCCCCAATGCATTGCATGCGATTTAACATTCTTTGAGAAATGGTCCGACCAGAAATTGCATCACGCATCGTGGAAACATTTGATTTCCATGTTTGAGATTCGGAATTCGTTTCTTGAAAAGAATTCAACGGGTAGAATGATGTTAGATAGCGTGTAAGACTGTCGTGATATGGGATTATTGTACATGTATATACATATATCTAAGTGAAAAGAAGAGAAATAAAAGAATGAGAAGGCATGAGAATGACCCTGATTATGATAATTCTCTACCCATGTTTCTCATCATTCTTGATATTCTGCGAAATCCTCGGACCAAATCCCTTTTCTACCCTTTCCCTTTGGGCAAGCAGTAACGCACAATATATTAACCGTAAATGTCACGAAATATAAATTACGATTGAATTCATGAAACACAATCAACATAGTTATATTTTCAGGTTATTTCTCTATTGGAATCCGATGTTAAAGTCAAAATGTATTTTAAAAATCAAACTTTTATTAACTGGCTTTTATTAACTAACGAGGCTATTAAGTATTTCTTTTTTCAAGAAAGCATTGCTAGATTTCTTTTCCTCGAATATTGAATCATTATAATTAAAATATGTTTAATTTAAATCTTTGACGGTGAAAACGAGAAGATATATGAAAAATGTTTCAAATAAAATCTAGATCGTACTAATTGCGCTTTATAATTACATGCACATAGAATTTACAAATGTAGAACTTTTATTTTAATTTTTCTTCCCGGAAAATTTAAATACGTAGTCAAAAAGTGCTTTTAATATTTTAAAATTCTTGCTTGTTCGTTCATATGTTTTACAACGCTTCGTACGCACATATGTTTAGAGATGAAATATGTTGGATTAAATGTCGAGTTACGTCGGGTTCTCTCTCTTGTGTTCGAGAATCTCTAAACCTGCAATAAAATGCGTATAAAAGAAATATATGTATTCTATCTTGGATTCTTCTGAAACATATTTGAGACTTATCAGAATCCGACGGACCGTAGCGAGCGTTTCCCTTTAAGCTTTCCATTATAAAGGATAGTAACGACATTACTTCAGACTAGTTTTTCCACCGTATATGAATTTGAAGTGTATAATTTTCACTGTCGCTTTATACACTGGAAGATATAAGCAAAGGTAATCTATAAGATAAAAATTAGTTACTTGGGATTAAAACCTTGCCCGGAAAAACTGAGATAACAAAATTGCTTCTTGGTGATAAAAGGATTAAGTGGCAATCTGTAGCAATACCGCATGACCTATATATTTTTTTGACGCTATGAAACCTGTGGAAAAAAAAACGTAATTAATTCTTGCGATATTAATTGTGAGCTTGTTGAGATAAATTAATACTTAGAATATATCTATTTTCCAAAAAGCATTTATGCGACTAAGACGCAAGTAATTTCAATTTGTGAACGTCGCACGTTTGAGAAATGAAAGCTGCTCGGGGTTATCAAATTTCCACAAATTTCGAAACAGCATGAGAAAAATTACGATTGCTACGTCAAATTAATCGCAGCAAGATCGTTTTATTGTCAATCGAAGGAAGGAAGAAAAGATTCTCCTTGCGATAGTTCCTCCGCCAAGAAGGAGATTGCGCGTTAACGAACGAAGCGCCGGAAGGTGGTGGATGCAAACTCGATTGCCTGTTTGAATGAACTGTCGCACTTACACGGACACGGACGCCCAGTTCGTTGGATATACCGCTGTTGCGCTGCACAAGGGAGCAATCTGTTGCTGAGTTTTCATCCGTCAGCAAGAAGAAGAGAAAAGGGAAGGAGCGGCCGAGAAAGAAAGACTAAGCGTCATCAACGAGACGTAAGTAAAATCGAGGTCGAGTAAAGTCGAGTTTCTTTTCGACGACGACTCATCGTCGTGTCGTTGAATACGTAAAATAGCACGACGTTGTTTATCTTCACTCTTTGATGCTTCTTATGGCGACATAATATGTAAAGCTCTACAAACAAAATAATTTTCTTTTTTCATACGAGAGATAATGCTATTGCTTGTGCAAAAAAGCGTTTCAGATGTGCGTGCATATCTGTTCTTTATACATTCTACAGATCTCGATGAAAACAGAACAGTACACAAAATATTTTGGAGAAATTTTAAAAATCAATTCTATATATGTAGAAATGAGAACAACGGGAAAATACAAATAAGAATGTAAAAGAAACATAAAAATTTCTACCTTAATATATATAATGTATTTTTGATAACATGTTTTTGATAAATTTTAAAATATTCATGAAATATTCATGATTAGTTATTATTCATAATAATTTTAATATATAAAACATGTACTATATTTTTAGAAAACATATTTTTTAACTTCACGTAAACTTTTTAACTTAACAAAATATTTTTTCTCCAATATATTATCTAGATGAATGCTCAAAAAAAGATCAAGAGGAGTCTTCGGTTAGAAAATTTTGTTGAGAGCATTTTCCTTTACCGTGAGATTTTACCATAGTGCCAGTCTGGCAGGAAGTATCGATTATTGGTCAGATACTTCCCTTTTTCGCGTGCAATCTATAAATATTGTATGGATTCTAAAAGTGTCGGTTTATTCTCGCGAAAATATGTGCCGGAATATCTCGGTGCATGCGCGATACAGGTAAAGCTTTTGGATTAATATGTATCTAAAAACAGAAAAGAATTACGTAAAAGCAGTGCTAGAGCAAAAACAACGTAAGCCGAGCATTATTATTTTGTGTAAAATATCAATTAATTCAGCGAACTGACTCAAATAAAAATGTACGCGTGTATAATAATTCCTAAATATCTATGATTATAAATAAATTGATACATGCATAAGAGTAATGTGCGCATATGTAAAAAAAAAAAAAAACAGGAAGATACGAATATTACACTCACGATTTAAAATCTATTTTATATTAAATATTAAATCAGAGAAGGTAAATTTGAAAATGAAAATCTAACTCTTTTAATAGGATTATTGAAGTACTAATCATCTAACAATAATATTTCACGATTCTGCGTTTTCGTGTTAAATCATTTTCCACAATTTTCGACATACAGTCCGTACATAAATACATTCATTCAAATGAAAATCGGCTAATTCGAATTAGACGTTCTCGTCAAGTGCTAACTTCGACTTGAAGAAAGTTTAGCGCTCGAACGAGAGCTGAAGAGAGTAACGTAACAAGACGCAACAGCATACAGTGCACGAAGTTGTTCAGCACGTTTTCTGACTTTTTTTGTGGCCTCTTCATAACGGAAAGTAAGAAATTATTATTATAACTTAAATATCACCGTTCATTGTAAAACTTCGACGTGAACCTTTATCGATTTCATTGTAATGAAGCACGATTCTTGAACGTCTTTTCTAACTTTCTCTACGTCAAACTAAATGCACACACAGATTCTATCAATGCTAACTAATAAGCATGCTGTTACGTTAGTCCGCGTAATTTGTCACGTCATATCATATTACCCGAGTAGACGGCGTAGCATGGCAATTATGCAGGATTTATATTAATTATATAAATCCTGCATAATTGCTGTGTTACATGTCTATTGGATAATACTATATAATTAATCAAAATTCTACACAATTGACGCAGGATGATTTCAATGACACAATTCGATCAATATAAAAAAATTGGCAAGTTTTATATTTGCAATTTGTAAGTGTTTAATCGTTATTTAAATAATGTATTTTAATAAAATACATTTTTTACATTTGTCAGTACATAGAATGTTAATGGTATTGAAATAATATTACGTGCTTCGTATTTTTTTCCAGCAACTAACCACCCATTTGAAATTCCACATATTACGTATCGTTAAATAAATGGCAATCTAAATAGTAGTTTATGTCATATCTGTGATAAAAAAATGTATATTATTCGATAAAAATCATAAAATAAAATGTACAGAAAAATGGGAAGAAATTTACAAATCTTATTAAGTAAACGGACATTTTTTAAAAGATTAGATTCCTTGAATGTCTCTTTACTTTTTGACTTTCTGATGTAATACGTAAAGGAACGTTATGTTAAACGTCGCCATTCGTTACAATTTCGGTGATATTAGTAAAATATTGTTCCATTGTTGCGTGGAACAAAACTGTATTATTGTTCTTTCGATTATCGTTATATTACATTCTGCATCTTTAATGCTAAATTCGCATATAACATTTATTGTATCTGATGAAAGACATAATATGAACGCAAACAGAGAAATTTCCATCGGACATTACATTGCAATGGAAGATTGCTAATGAGAAATGTCATGCGATAAATGTCAGGTTCAAATTTAGTTTGAGATGAAAAAGAGTATTTTTAAAAGTGAAAAGTGGGCGATTTGTGCGAATCGCAGAACACATTAAGCTGTACATATGTGATGTTTTTGCTCGAGGTGAAAAATCGATCGGTAATTTGACCTTCATCTAAAAGTGTCCACAAATGGGAATTGGGACGGAAAAGAATGCTATATGCGACCAAAACAAACAAACCGCAGGTCCATTGCCAATTAAAAAAATTCGATATCTCGCCGATTGAATATCTTCCTGTGTACTTCACTTCCGACAGCGCATTCGTCGTTTCGTGTTTATTGGGTTTACTACATATCGAAAGTGAATCAACCAAATCTCTCGAGTAACGAATAAAGTGTCGAGCGTGCTAGCTAGAATAACAATCATCATCAATCCCTTCTTCGATATCAATAAACTGTTTGTTGATTGATATGTCCCCGATATATTTCGCGGGATATTTTATAGTCCATATCTTTTTACATATCTTTTAAATATTAGGATTAAATCTTGTTTCGGTTAAAGAAAAAAATGTGTTTGTTTTGTTTAAGAAAAAATGTAATATAAATGTAAATGTAATCTAACTCCATCCAGAATCTTAGTATATAAGACTTAATACATTTTAGTTTTAATGCCAGATAAAGTAATCAGATAAGATCTTACTTCTCGGGATGTTTTTACGTTCTTTGAATTTACATAAGAAAAATGTGCAAAAACATAAACAGGTAGAAAAGTAGAAGAGCATAAATGAAAAATAAAATGTAAAAATATATGCAGACGAATAGAACAGTTAAGTAATTAAAGCACAAATTCGCTAAAATGATTACATGCAAAATACTCGACGGTGAGAACATGAATATATCAGTTACACACATTTTTCCAGGTTGTTCTGTATTCAGCCTTTCGCTTGGCGGTTTATCAATTTTTCGGGCCATTTGTCGTGCCGTTCCGGTGCAAATA